AATTAAAGGTTTATATGATCTTGTATTTATGAAAATTTTTTGTAAAATTTAATAATTTGTGTAATATCTCCTTTTACGAACTACCTCACTGCACCTATTGAGCATACTTCTTACAATATTGTCACAGATTTCGCAGCATAAACACGGTAATACTGCTCTCAGTTGCTGAATGTTAAAAAGCTATAAATGCTGGTCAAGACAATATGGGAAGCAGCAGATGTGAAATATATAGATTTTCAAGACAATGATGAACAACATTTCCACTTTGGGGTGTGTAATAGAACTTCCACAATATAGAGTAGAATCCGTCATCCTTAGTAGATTGCATATCTAGACTGCATCGAAGGAAGCACAAACTGTGGTAGTGTCCCCATACCCTGTTCTTGGTAGACTCTTCTTCAACCAACGATCCTAATAAATACAGAAACACGACTTGTCTGTAAACATAACAGCATTGGAATTTGTATTCTCTTCTAGGCGGTCTCAGAGTTGCTGGCGACGCATGGTTGCTGCAATTCGTCTTAAAGGAAGTGAATGGGATGTTAGATCAACTTTCCACAAACGATTAAGAATGGTTTGTGTTGGCATGAGCCCTGGCAGAACATTCAAAACTTCATTTAGGCTCTGTCGGGTATTATGAAAAGAGTTGCTTCGTAAAATAATTTCCAATATTTCTGTCGTCGCTTGATGCCGTAATGTGCTGAGATTCACTAACAGGTCTCCTGTTGAAACTTCCTTTTTTTCTGAATCAGGTTAAAGCTCAGGAGACCACAATCTGAGAGACGTCAACTGCATCGTCGATATCCACTTGCCGGTGCCATTGACCGCTCATTCTCACTATGATATTGCAAACTTATCGAGGTCCCCTGAGTTCAAATAACCAAGTGTCGCAAAATGGTCTGTGCGTGTGTGTTAACAGTCTAGCTCATAAACGAAAAGTAGTACGAAACTGATATTAAGTATTTAAGGTTTGTATATGGGCCGGATGTGACAACAACTTTTTCGTTAAAATCGGCTAACCGGAAGTGCCACTTTATATGAACGCTGAAACACATTTTTACAATTTCCTCAAAAACGGCTCTAACGATTTTGATCGAACTCGGTGTATCATTGTATAATTAAGTGGTCTTTAATACCATTCAAATCATTTAATATCATTTTTTTGGGGATATTGTATGTGATTTTTTAAAAGTTTATGGAGTTTCCTAAAAAAACAAAAAAAAAATCGTTAAAATCAAACAATTAAGAGGAAAGATATGGTCTATAGTTTTTTAATTGTTGAGACTAAAAAAACCTTTTTTCTACAGATATTTAATAAAGTGTCTTTCCTCAGAACATCTTTCATAAGAAATAAGTACCTAAATTTATACCTTTATTCTCAGTTCTATATTTCAACACTGCAATCACCACCTCTGGAATCAACTTACTCATTGTCTGCATAGATAACTTTTTCAACTAAAAATATCACTAAAATGACATCACTCAAAAATGTTGAAATTGGAGTTAGTCATTCTGTGGTTTATAAAAGCAGATGCAGTGACTAGATTTTATTGCCTACCGTCGATATATTAAATAGACATTTTGTAATTATAATGGTCTTAATGACTTGTTATCAATAAGCATTAAGCTTTAGCTCCGTTTAAAATGCACTTCAAAAAATGTTATAATAGCCCAGCATTGCCAGAAAATAATTTCTATTCAAAGTAGATCGGTAAGTGAAAATTGTGTGTTGCGCACACCAGATTTTTTCAATAGTATAGAATGACAATTGTATAGTGTTAACAATTCATCAAAGTTGGTCATAAGGTTAGATCATCTAGAATTCAATTAATAGATAGATAACCAGGATTAAATGCTGGCTAAAGCAAAGGGCGTGTTAATCTTAATGTTTCGCATCGCTCTTCAACTACTCAATCAATAGCGACGCCTGAGTCAATGCCTTCTTAATATTTACTAACGAATTATTTGTAGATGTAAAATATCCTATGTTCGAAATATTTTTCAACAACTCACATTTGATTTGGTTTCTGAAACCCACACGAAGATTATTGTAAGTAAACGTAGTATGAAAAATTGTTTTGCTTGAATAATTAAGTAATTACCAGTAACTGATGGAAATATATTCCTATCTGTAAAATACGGAAGAAAGAGGATATAGAAATATGATAACTGCATTTTCCCTGTACATGTTTGTGATTTCTAATAGGCTATATAATTATTTATCGATGGTTATATTATTAATTTTTCATAATTATAATTTTATCAATAAATAAAATAATAAATTGCTCATATGTTGGTCAGGATTAAAAAAAAAATCACATTGAAGAGAACATTATATCGACAGCCACACTGCAAAAGCCTATAAGAACAAAAACTAATAATTTTCAGGAGACAAAAAAAACTACATAATTTTTGTTCTGTGAGCATTATATTATATGCGGCACTGAACTCTCCAAACATTATCCAATTGAGGCTGGTGTTCCACAAGGCAGTGTCTTGGGCCCAGTTATCTACATCCTTTTCACCGCTGACATCCCTTCAAGTCCTGATACCTTCCTAGCAACATTTTCTGATGATACTGCCATCCTTCATTGAGCAGTGGTGCAACAACTGGCGCATCAAAATTAATGAATCAAAATGTAAACATGTAACTTTCACTCTTCGACGCAGATCCTGTCCGCCAATCCTTTTTAATTCAATTCCTCTTCCCTACTCAGACACAGTCCGATACCTTGGCTTCCTTCTGGACAAAAGACTGACTTGGTTTGCATACCCTTAGTTTGAGATTTCTTGAGATTTTTCGAGATTTCAATACCATTGAAACGGAGAAGAATGCTCTGTTTGCGCTAGTTATACGCTAGTCTATTTCTGCCCGTTGGTCATTCATCGAGATTATTGTGGAGTCGAGGTATTTGAATTTTTCCACTCCCGGGAATGATTTTCCTTCTACGCAGGGGTGGTTATTAGGGTGGCATTTTTAGTCTACATTTACTTGTAGGCCGATCTGCTGTGCCTCTTTTATCAGAGTTGTAGCGAGTTTCTCAATGTCCTCTTGATTACTTCCAATGACAGCCATATTATCTGCGGATCCAAGGATTAAATTATAATTAATACTATTTCTTTTAATAATTTTCTTTTTCAGGCTCATCAAATATTATATATAATTATAGATTCATCCCTGATTTATGTGTAGATTATTTTCTTAAGCTTCTCTTATTAGAACATTTGAATTGATTTTGTTTTATTACTTTTTTTTCAATTATATGTGTAATTATAATTAAATTCTTGGAAATTCAAAATATCAAAGCTTATATCAGTGAAAGTGGATGAATAAAAATCTAAATTAATTAAATGCAGTTACTACATTTTCCATATATATTATTTTTAGGATGTATACCTAAGAAGTATATCCTTGTATATCCCTTTTGCGGTTACTATAATATTTTTAAACGATAATATTTATATTCTTTCTTGTATCTTTGTACACAACAACGCACAGTAGAATAATGTATGCTTCAGATTTAATAGATTAATGATCATTGGTACCGTACAATTTTTTTTTCATTTAATGATTTTTCTCACATTATTTTTTTATTATTTATAAAAGGGAGAGCGAGGATTTTTTTTATGTTAAATTCTTTACATTCTTATTTTTTTAATTAATAGATCAATACTCATAATTTTTCCAAAAGTGTCATGCCAAACTGACCGCCCTGGATGTCATTTAAACTCACCTTGACATTTTGCAACGGTCGTCCGCATTTAGGTCGTACCTAAATACTGGTCAGTATGACCTATGGAAGAGTTATATTATTCTTATGACACCGTGTTTTACCATACATAAATATATTATTATATCTATGTTTCTTTTGTAATCATAATATATTTTATAGATAATTCATAAATATTTGTTTCAGTAATTCCTTAGAAGAACATTATAAAATAATTCTGATTTTCGGTTTTATTATTATTATTATTGTTTTATACTTAAAAAAAGATAAGAAAATTACAGGTAGACAATAACTCTAGCGTTTAGTAAAAATTAGCTATATTCAACTTATTCCCTTAAATAGGCTATTTTTTAGGAGATCCTCTAGAAGAATTTAATTATCAACCTTTTTATTATTAAAAAAAATAAAGATGATTAATATAGATATTTTGAAATAAATTATGAAACCTTTAATATATCTAAATTATAAGGTTCTATCATTTTCCCACTTACTTTTAGCACTTCCGAACCCCAACCTTTTTCCAACCTTGCTTTCTCTTCTATTCTGATAACCCTCCGAGGCATCTGAAAAGAAGATGATCTCGGGGCCTTCTAATATAGAAATATAATTGGAGTGCTACCAATGGGTAGTTTCTCTTCATGTTGTACATGTCATGTTACTTGTTCATATTTACTTGTTGTATTTATCATTTAATACAGTTGTAAATTTCAATAATAAAAAAAAAAAACTTTTAGGACTAATACGATGTAAATTGCTAAACATTTTGGAGCACTAAGCAGAGTTGTCTAGAAGGGGGTAACATGGCGCAAGTTGTACCATCAAAATTTTTATGAATTTACCGAGGTTACCATATTATTTCGAGTTTAGTTTTGGAGAAACTTCTAATAAAGAATCTATAAGTTAATATAGAATTGATCGATATAATAATATGCTTTCTTAGCAATGAACTTATTGGAGCAAATAAAATATACTAAAATAAAGAAATATAGCAGGAAATTATTCGACTATACTACATCATAAGTGATAATTAATCAGGACGCAGTCATTTTAACATTTTTATTGTTATTGCTGACGTTTCAACCCAAGGATGTGGGGTGGTTACTAGAATAATCAACACCTTGAAGTACCCAAGTACTGAAGGTTCGATTACTTGAACACCTCCAGTACTGGAATCATCCTCTGATGTACCCACATGTCGGGGTTGAAACGTTGGCAACCACAGTAAAAATATTAAAATGATATAAAATAATAAAATAAAGAAAATAATACCGTCATATTGTGGCTGGGGATGGCTGCCGAACTAGGGTACACACAGGCCACTACCAATATGAGCCAACTCCGTCCTCTCTCCATCACTTCATCACCTGGAAAAATATTGTTATGAAATACTTCCTTTTAACGATCATAAGCTTAGTACTACCATTGCCTATATTTTAGTTGATTATTCAATAACTATTTTGAATTTAAACCTATTTAAATTTCATTCTGCATTATTTGTCTTTTAAACGAAAATAATTACTTCAAATGGCGAGGAAGGAAAAACAGAGGTTCTTCTTTTTGGAGTAAAACTCAATGGTAATTATATTAGGAATTGTGTTAGCTAACAGAAGATTATATTAGATATGTTATAACCTAAAGGAGAGTTGAAACATCTTTGATACTATTATGTTGGAATCAAACCTATTTACAGTTCTCACTGATGGAACGGATATATTTTGATTCTAATAGTATTATTATAGCTGCCTGTGAAAGACCAATAGGTTTTCATTGATATAGTTGGAGAGGTGTTCTCAGCCTCTTGGTCCGCCGATGTCGGGTGATGCAACCTACATGCCGCGGGTCAGCACATTCATCAACGTCTTCACGACAGACTATCAGGTGATCTCCTCTTAACAAATGGCTCCTTTCGGATAACGGCTGATGGCAATCTTCCGGACCCTATCACTGTCCCGAGGAGCGAAAATCACTCGCCGAAAAGTTTGAATTTTGGAGATAGCGGAGATTACGAAGAAGCAACAACATATAGGTAGATTAAAAAAGGACAGTCTATCATAGAAGATTTAAAAATAAGTGAGAAAGAATACAATTAGTTGTCAATAATAATTTTTTTTAAATTTTATCTATCCAAACCTTGTAGGTGAACTATGAGTAATTGTTTCTTGATGGTGACAGATTAGACCTGAAGGAAGAACAAATACCCAATGGTTTTTTTTCTGCCATGTCTACTGTAAGGTTCTCCCTGTAGATCTCTTTTCTTCTTTTTCAATCTTCTGTGGTCATCAGTATGATTCAGTACCATTCAAATTGATATCAATATATTTACTGCAATATTAATATTTATTATGGGGTCAGGTAAAATAAAATCGATCGACGATGATAGCTAACAAAATTTCTTTTGGTCAGAATAAAATTAATTTATTTTATAATTTTCTTACATGTATTTTGAGCTACTCTTTATCACTATTAATATTGTCCTTGAATGTGACAGATTGTAATATATCTGAATAAAGAAATTTCCTTACGAGTATTTATAAAACATTTAGACAGTGGAGAGGAGATATCCATTTTTTTTTTTTTGTATGCACATAATTTTTCTTTTTTGGAGAAGGGGGAGGGGGGTAATTACGTATTAGCGTCGATTTTTCAATACCATATGAGATACGATAAAATTAGAATTAGAAAATCTATTAATTTACTTTAGCCTGACTGAGTTGGGGGTTTCAGGTTGTATTATTGAAACCAGGTACTGCTCTATGAAACATATGTTTAACAGTGATATGAATGTGTATTTAGAAATATCTTATCTACTATAGGAAAAATCCATCACTATAACTGGATCTGTGTAGACGGCAAATCGTTCCCGATAGAAGACAAATTGAAATACATCGGGCCTACAATTATGTAAGTAACTCTCAGATATAGAACGGGAATATAACAAGCCCAAACAGAGCTATATTACATATTTCAAAGCCACTGAAATCCCTAAAAAATCTGAAATTCACAAACTAAGGATGTAAAATGCACATATTCACCTTATATGTCATTTTTGTCAATAAGCCATGATGAGTTGAATGATAAACTATAATTATGCATTTTCTCCGTCCATGTTTTATATGCTTGCATTCTGGGGTACTCAACTATATGATTCTTCGCAAACCTTCCCTCCCGCCTCGAACAATTTGTTTCCACGATTATTTTTAGATCAATACCTTCCACGTCGTAATTTATTCGATTAGGCATTTTATTAAGTTGTAATAATTAACATAAATTGCTTAACACATATTCGTACGCATGACGAAAATTCGTCATTTGGCAAAAAAAAATAATCAATAGCCAAATGACGAAAATTCTTCATTTTTACATTACAGATAATAATTGATTCATATTCTTGTAATTCTAAATTTAGCTACTCTATCACTATATCCTTGAATGTGACATAATGTAATACTACTCAATAAAGTAATGTTTTAATACTAAATAATTTTTTTTTACATATTTATTGATTGATATTACAATCTGTCACAAATACGGACATTTATAATAGTGTTCTGAGAGCACATTCACGCTCTATCAATAAATAAAAATAAGTAATACAGAAAAAACAATACTACTAAAAGTAAATGTATATAAACTAAACTAATAAAAATACAATATCTAAAAAAAAAATCAAAAAATCATTCACTCAAGATCTCCGAGCCAAGCCTTTCAGAGCCTTCCAAGAAAATTTTGCTATCCACCACAGTTCAAGTCCGTATGTCCACATAGGTTTCAGGATTGTCTTGTAGATAAGTAATTTGTTTTCAATTGAAAGTTTAGATTTCCTGTTCAGTAGTCTGACAGCGAACTCGAAAGGAGCGGTTTGAGATGTAGGATCGGAGGACTAGGTACAAGGACTGAGGTAAATGGATTTTAAGCTTGAAGAGCAATCCGGCGTGCCATACCCCATGAAATGCCTGCGCTGTGTCCAGAAATGCACCCGAACAGTATTTCTTGTTTCTAATGCTCAGGAAATATAATCAACAACTCGGAGTCCTTGTTGAACAGGCGAAAACCAAACGGATGGGAAGGAAGATTTTGGGATTCTATTACAGGTAGGATTTGTTTTAAAATGATTTTTTTTTAATGTCTAGGATTAAATTTTAATTTTTATCAAGCCGAGGAAATGAAATATCATTGAGCATTTTGTGAATGGTGGTTAAAAAATTACCAGACCGACATGTGATAATAAACACACACACAGAAAACTTTTCATACGCTAAATCCTTTATTTATCTAATCGATAAATAAAGTGGAAATATGCAAAAAAAAAAAAATAGAACTTTTGAGTCATCAAAAAATAAATGATATCTAATCACAAGAAAAAAATATATATCGTAACACTAGAGTATTGTATCTAATCTATGAAATTCTGGCGTAGATATTTGGTGATAAGTAGACAAGTATCACCAAAATAAATTTGGTTGAAATCCCCTTGTTATAAGTGCAGTTATAAGTGCAATGAATTCAATCACAGTTGTAATGGGCCATTTACAAATTATCAATTTATTGAGAGTTAGTTGTATGTGTGGTTTATTATTTTCCAAAGCAGCATTCATTTAATTTATAGGATAATTAAATAATTGTGTTCAAATGTTTCTGAACTAAAACTGAATTTCAATGTTCAAATGATTCTTGAAGAAGAAGAAGATATTAGACAAGGGTGAAAAGCTCTGATAATTTAATAAGTGCCATCAAATATCTATAATAATATTCTAACATAGGGCAGATATAAATTAACATAACAGAGATAAATTTACACGAAATGCTCTATTTTGGTGAAATGATCCTAATGTAAATGGTAATTCAAATATAAAGGGTGGCAATACTCGGAAACTTCACTGGTTTCTGTGTAATTGTATAAGTAATTAGTAAATGTACACTTACTAATTGTTTTCCAGTCCATAAGGAAGTTGTTACTGATTTTACAACGTTATTGAAATTGACAAGCCAACATTCCTGTATCTATTTGTAGTAATGCACATACAAAACGGATGACACATTTATTCAATTATTTCCTTGAATTGATCAATTTATATATTTTAACTGTAATAATGAATACCTTCATTTCATGTTTATGTATTTTCATTTACATCAGAAAAAAGTATCTATTTTTGATAATTGACTTTAATAGATAGTTGCGTATAAAGTATATATATTTACTAAAAAAAACAAAAAAAAAAAAACATCTAGGTATCCAAACCATCATTTTTCTTCCTTTTTTTCAATCTGGCCCCACCAATTATTGTTAGTAAATCTTCAAATTTGACCTCTGGGTTATAGGTTGCCATTTAGTGTTTTAGATATCATGGTAAGCGATTCATTCCTTTCAGGAAAGCATTTAAATGTATTTATAAAAACGAAATGTAAAAGAATCAATTTAAAGCTGAACATATTTTTCTAAAATGAGGTAAAGGTAATTAAAACTTTCAATTAACGAATTGTATAATTAAAAACAAAAAAAAATATCTCTATTGCATTTAATCTTTGTTTACTTCCTTATTTATGGAAGTGGAGAAAATTTTATCTAAGGTATGAAGAGAGAGGTCAGATATACATATTGGTAGTATTGGTAATATCAGATATATTGGTAATAATAATCTCTGGACGTTTTACCTACAGCATGCGACTACTAGTGATTAGACTAAAATAAAGATTTTATTGATGAATCATTAACATACTTTTCATTAGAACTTGCAATATTTATAAAGAACTTCGTTTCCCCCAAATCTCATTATGTATATTTGTCTTGTGCCAATCCATTAGCCTTTTCACAGAATTTCGCGATACATTTTTCTCGATTTCTTTTCGTCCTTTCCCCATTTTCTTCAGGTAAGTTAGAATAATTGCAAAATAGACAATTTTTTTTTTATATCAATGTTTTTAATATCTATATTCACCTTTCAGGCTTTCGTGATATTTAATCAATCAATAAATGCTTTGAGATCTCAAGAAAAGATCTGCATTGCATTTTATTGAAATGCAAGATATTTGATATTTAAAATGAAAGAAATTTGATCTAAGATATAGGTGAGTGAGGGAATTCGACTAAAGGAACCTATATACAGGTTATCTAAAAAAGTGTAGTCAAACGGAAGTCCAAAAGTGGAAAACATATCCGGTTACCCGGTTAAATCGCATCAATATTATTTGACTTCGATTTGTAACTTTGGAATTATGATTTTTTTCGTTGAGACCTTAAAATACATGAGATTGTTGGTCACCAGTACTTGAATTATTGAAGTAGATATTTGATTTTTTTTCTATTTTAGATGAATAGATGAATGCATTTAAGACACCAAAGCAATCGTGGCTGGAACTGATTATA